AGGAATAATCTTTATAGCTAAACTTTTTTTTTTACTTTAGAAAAATAACAGAAAAAAAATTTTTATCTCTCAGCATAACTAAAGAATATTTTTACTCAGTGGTAATTCTAACCTTCCTGTAATGATACTGGTAAATAAATGGGGGAAGGACAAAGAAATTAAGATGCTGTATCTGTCTTCTCCATATCTGCTTAATTTTGGAGAATTTATTTTGTTGAAAATAGTGGTGGGATCCAAGGTACAGTTTCTATCACAGTTTTCAATTCTAGTGATGATGATCCAGAAATTGGCTAAAATTCATTTCTGGGCTACTGAATGCTTCAAACATACATTTTAATTTTCTCTATATCAAACTAAGGCCAGACTGACTCCTTCAGCCTAATACAGCTGTGAAGATTAAAATGCCAAAGTACTTCTCAGTGATTTCCCCAGCTTGTTCATACATGCCATTGATTTTTTTTTTTTTCTTTCACATTAGTATTTCCTGAGAAGCCTGAGACTAAAAAATAAATTACATAGTAAGCGTGGAGAGAATTAAGTCTTTTTTTCATAGACCTTAGTTCAGTATTTTGTTCAAGCATAGACAGTTCTTCTGAGCAAACTTTTGCAGCAGTGTCTGAGGTACACGCTGGCCCAGATCTTGGTGGAAGAGAATGAAAGCCATACAGTTTTCCATAAAAATATACCAGACACTTATATCCCTTCAAGCACAGTAGAGCAGCTCCTATATGCAGCATTTTTTATTTGCTCCAAGATCCATACACTACAAATATCTGACCAGTCCCAGTGGCTGGGGGCATTGAGTGGATGTGTTGCTACAGAAATTTTTAAAATCATGAAACAGAAGCATGTGGGAGAGAGAGCACAAGGAGCAATCACTTGAATAAGTCATGTGCTCCATTTCTCTGTGTTGATAATTTGTTGAGTCTGAACCACCACAAAATCATGCACTCAACAGGTTCAGTTCTTTGTTTGTTGTAAGTTACGAAAATACACAAAGAAAATTTCCACTCATAGTCAAGTAATTTGGAGAGCAAGTATGGCATACAATGGACAGTAAAAGAAAGCGGTATGAGAGACAGAAGGTTCCCTGTTACCCTATCATGCTTAATACCCCAACATATGTTATTGAGTGCAGATTAAGTGAAATGTGTTCTTCAACAGAAGTAAAAAATAAACATCAGGGACTCTGTAATACTTACTTCTCAACTCACTGTTCCATAACTTTTGGAGGAATGGAGAGTTTAAGAAAAATAGAGGTTCTTTCTTTATGGCTGGATATTCTTAAGTTATCATTTGTAAAACCACATAAAATGATTTAGTTGTCAAAGAATAACTGAATTACATAAATAAAACATTACATAAAAGACATCTCAGTACAATTTATGTGAAGTGAATTTCACAAGAACCAGTCTATTGTAGAAAATTCAACTTATCTCTTCCTGATCCTTTTATTCTATCTAAACATAGAAATTTATGTCAGTTCAAAAAAAATCTATTACTGTTTCTCATAACTGAATCCATTATTTTCCCTCCATGATCCATCAGGTAAAAACAAGTGCAATAGACAGTTCTAGCAGAGCCTTGAACATAAAAGGCCTCAAGAATAGAATGAGATCTGTTAAACCTATCTTGCTGTGCACTATAACTGGAAATGATAACCTTGAGGTTTAATTTAAAACAAGTCATAGAAAAGACTTCTGACTGTAATTGTTATCTGTCACATAAATAAAATTATTGTAAAATGGAAATGGGCTTGAAAAGGTACAGTTTTGCTTCTTGCATTGCCTGTAAGCAAATTGAACTCTATAAAGGTTTATCACTCCTTGCTGTCTTCTTCCTCCAGTCTTTCTTGATAATGGATCCATTTGATTGCAAAAATATGGAAAGAGCTGAAAACCAATTATTAGTTTTCCCTATTACTCTTTATTTCCAGAGCTTTTCTGATTCTGTTTCATTTAGCAATTTTTAGCTCCTTTGCTCCCCTGCTAGCCCAAGGAAAAATAAAAACCAAAAATTAGACCTCATATTAGAGTGGCAGTATTTCCCTTGCATGGCAGCAGTTTCCAGACAGGCAAAATGAGGGAGTGAGTGCAAGTGCATGGATTAAGACAGAAAAACAAATCAATGGATCTCAGACCAGCACCTGCAGTTCCCAAGCTTGGCCTCCACTGGATTGTTCACAGTGGCAAAGGCACTCTACCAAGCACTAGATTTAGTGTAATTAGAGCAAGAGAAAAATGAAGAGCCTACTTTCCTGCTTTTCCTTGCTTTGCAATTTTCTGTGAAAAGAAAGTGCACTGGCCTCAGGACACATAGCAGTGAGGTGGAAACAGAGCTCAGGCTTGGAAGACAAAGATTCACCAGACCTTTTCACCATTTTGGGGAGGCCAGACATGCACAGGCTGCCTCAAAGATTAACAGAAAATTAATTTACTTGTTATAGTGCCTATAATGAGACACACCAAAGTGAACCTACCTGCTGCTTTTCAGACAGCACTGCCACCCTGGGCCAGCATATAGGAGAGGCAGCTGGCAGACCCAAACTCTATTAAGCAGCTGCAGCTGTGCAAGCATGCAAAGAGAAAGACGAGATATGGTGGCAGGATGCAAGAGAGGGAAAGGTACCTGCCAGATGGAGCCCAGTGTGCCAGGCTGAATAACCAGGAGGCCATCACATGCAGGTGCCTGCTCCTCACGCAGCTCAGCAGGGTGCAGCTCACTTGCAACTTCTGCTCCTTTCAGCCTAAGGCGGCTCCTGAGGCCACAATTGGTAGAGGAAGCTTGAAACAGCCGATTGCAGTTTGCAGCGGGTGAATTATTACACACCCTCCTAGCAAAGGGTCTCATCTCTGCCAGATTCCTTCACAGCAGCAACCACAGAGAACTCCCCCAAGGGTGCTTCCATGGAAAAATGGAGCCCACGAGGAATGAGAAATGAAGTTTTGGGGCACTGATTAAGTGTTTCAAGAAGCTTCTCTCTCCTTTGACTATAGAAGAAATTAAGGAGACAAAGAAGTCAATTTAGCTGACCAAATAGACTTTATGCTCCACAAATGTTGGTTTCAGAATATATTCATTGTACAAATGAATATTGTACCAATGTCACTTCAGTGGAGTTCTGAAATATCCTGTTGATTTCCACCCAAGGGCAGAGGCCAGCACAAAACAGCTTGGACTAAACTGGTGTCATTTGGAATTCTGAAAACTTTCCTATTTCCCAGCTGTCATTTTTTTTCCTGGTAGCTTACCTCCTGTGAAATGCATACATCTGTGCTGATCTTCCATCAGCAGTTTTGGTGGCTTTTTTTTGTTTTGGCTCTTTTGGTTTTGGTGGGGTTTTTTGTTTGTTTGTTTGTTTGTTTTAATGGGGTGGGGGTTTTTTGGGTTTTTTTTTTTAATTGGGTAAACTCAACTTTTTTTTTTTGCGACATTCTTAATGTCATAAATCTGAAAAATCATGTTAAAAATGCTGCTTGAACAGGACGACCACAAGTTTGATGCAGAGATCTTTCCACATAACAGCATCCCTATTATCACATAAACCCACTCTGTGGCATTGATTAACCTCATACTGTAACAGTGTGAAACACAGCTCCTAGCTAGACAAGAGATGCATGGATTGATGGAAGTTTGATAATCATAAATAACATCTTGTTGAGGCCATGAGCCAGAAGCTAGCACAGGTCTCAAAACAAGCATGGACAGAGGACAGCAGGAGACTTTCCCTGGGAATCTCCCAGGTCCTTCCATGCCAGTTCTTATCAGATGGGTTTGGCAAAGGCATTCAATCTCTTCTTCTTTCAGAGTGGATGATTACTTTCCAAAATCACATGGATGCCATGACAGCTAATTAATTATAGCTGTATTATGCTTTACAAATTTAATTAGTATAAAGAGGGTTAGTAGAGAGAAACACTGCACAGAAAATTAAGTTGAACATAGACACAGTGCTGGAAAGCCACTGTAGTGAGAAAGAGGAGAAAAATGATAAATAAGGAAAGGGCTCTTGAGTAATGCGTACTTAAGAGGTGTGTATGAAAGAAATGAGCAGTGTGCTGACTTCCAGAGGTAGAGGAGGGGGAAAGGAAATTAAAAATTAAAAGCAAGGCAAGCAAATAAGATTAATAGATTTGAAATATAAAATGAAGATAATCATGTGGAAAAGATGTAATAAAAGCCACCCAGATCCAGTAATGGATCTTTCTGATGTTAGAGGAAAATGGTAGCACACTTGTATTGACCTCACACTATGTTAACACAATACAGCTCTTAATTCCTGAATTACAATGTTAAATAATTAACTGATGAATCATAAGTAAATAGTTAAAACTTAGTTCTGTAAACCTCACAACTGAGAAAATAAAACTGTCACAGTGATACCAGATTTTAGCAGAACTGATATTGTAGTTAGGGAAAGAGCAAAAAAATTAACATTTAAAGCTAGCTATATAGACTCTAGAAGAAGAACCTGGGCTTCATTTCTCCATGGAACAAAATAAAATGGATCATCTATTACTTAAATCTCCTGTATTAAAGTTGAACCTGAAGAAGGTAGAAAAAAGGATTGTGAGTTACTCTGCAAAATACCTAGACCTGCCCTGTTGGAGAGGGTTTATGATTTGGGGAAGCAGGATGGAAAAGGCTGTCACTCTAAAACACGGAGATAGTCTTGAGTTCATGTTAAAATATCTTTTCCTCCAATATCCCTAAAATTAAGAACCATAAAATAAACCCTCACAGTTCAATGGACAATAACTCATAGATATTTAACAGTCTTAAGAACAAACAGCTTCTAATAATAATTCAAAATAATAATTTTGTTCATTCTTGTAAAAGGAGTACAGTATACCAAATATAAAAAGATCAGCCTGTGCATCTACAAAACAAAATAATTCCTTTTCTCCCATGAATATCTATTTGTTTTCAGATATAGGAAATGCACATGCACTTCAATTCTAAGCAAGGCAATTAATTTGGATTCTGACAAATCAGAGCCATCACAGTCACAGGATTACTTTTATTATTTTTTACAATGAAAGAACTCTGGGAGCACAGGTCCTGCTGTGTAGAGCCATCCCATTCCTTCCTGCAAACGAACTAATAGGAACTCTAATAGTAAATAGTTATTCCAATAAAAAATGACAAAAAGCTACAATAGTTACTTAGCTAGACTAATTTCAATTATTTGTTCTTGCAATATGTAATTTTAAAATAAATAGAGGTCTATTTTTTAGAAACACCCACCCTCCAGCTTCCTGATGCTTTGTCTTGCAAAATACTTGCCAGCAGCAAAAAATTTAAGAGTCTTTGAAGATCAGGGAGGGGATGAAGTGTACCAGGATTCTTCAGCACCCCCAAATAACCCCAAACCTGGGGTTAGGCTGACTCCACAGCCTCTGTTAGCCATGTTGGCTAGGACACATCCTTTAGGAGCATCCGGAGGGTTCATATCCCGTGGCCTGGGCCTAGGCAAAGGAATAGAGCTCGCTGGTGAAGTAGTTCTCCAGCTGATCGTTGAGGGCCTCAAAGGTGGGACGCTCATCGGCCTCCGCGCTCCAGCACTGCTCCATCATCTTGTAGAGTGCTGCTGGGCACGTCTCTGGCTGAGGAAGTCTGTACCCATTGTCCAGCAGCTGGATCACCTGGTGTCCCGGCATACCTGCAAGCCAAAATGAGTTCATCAGGCTACTCAGGATCTGCTTCTGGGTGCTATGTGTTCATCTCTCTTCAGCACAGTCACCACAGAATGGTTTGGGTTGGAAAGGACCCTGAAGATCACCTAGTTCAAAACCCCTGCCATGAGCAGGGACACCTTCCACTAGACCAGGTTGCTCAAAGCCCTTCCAGCCTAGCCTTGAACAATTCCAGGGACAATTACTGTTTACCAGCAATTAAAAATTGCCAACATTTCCCCGCCACCTCACCCTCACTGTGCCAGCTGCAAGGCATCACAAATAGTTTTGTCTGCGTGTGAGAATTTTCTTCCACTCTTTGGGTTTGTCAAAATTTTTATGACCTCTATTTAGCTTAAATAGTTCCTAAATGCCTCTAGTCTCAGTGACTACAAAATATCCTAAGAAAACCTGACCTGCTGCTGACTTTTCCTCACATATAGAAACTTTTCCTAAAGTCAGCCCTGTTTCCTCAAGGGCAGCTGGGCAATGGTATCCCCCCTGCTCTATTATCGCCAGTTATGAAGAAACTAATGTATCTTTGCTATACCTTTATATATTAAGACTATTGTCCTGTTCTCTTCCAATTTTTTACTCTTTAAATTAAATCTTGAATTGTGTTAACTTCTTTTCTCTAGATCTCTGATGGTGTTTCCTCTGCACATTATCCACTGCCACCATAAATCAACATCAACTCTTCTAACTGATTACTGAGAATAAACTCCTGAAAGTAATACCAAGTAAGCAAATAGTAAAATAACATTTTCTACTTTCAAGATACAGATAAACTATGCCTTTGTAAAGGAGTAATATTGAATGGGTTTTCAGACACTATCCAGAGCCACGGTGTTACATATTTTTTATACTAAAATGATTCATTTATGTGTGTGTGTCCATATGCACACAACTATAGTTTATATAAGACTTCAGGATATTTTGCTTTGCTTTTTTTCTTCAGAACAATTTTGCAGGAGGTGAGGGTGGGAATCAAAAAGCAAAATCAATTTTCCTTTTACAGAAAATATCAGTTTGGGACCCTGTGAAATGTAGTTTATGGGAAATGCACTACCCCTCAGGCCTGTACAGACACAGCATAACTTTTTTTTGCTTTAGTTCTTCCCTTGTGTTCTACTCACCAGCACAAAATGAGTCACAGTCAATCATCTCACTGATATCTTGTGTTATTGGAGTCACAGTTCCTTGAGCATTTCTCACAGTACTAGATATAGTAGCTGCTCTTAGACTACTATATCTACTTTTGAGGTTGGTGACATTTTACTTTTTAATTATTTAATTCTTGTGATCCTTTCCTTTATGAAGACTTTTCACTGCAACAATCAAATATGAGGGAGGGGGATAAAAGCACCCTGATTTATTTTTCAGATGCCTTCTTCCTAAAGTGCTTGTGCAGCGCTTCACACATAATCTATTCGTGTATGATATGTACTAAAAAAAAATTTATAAAGGACAGGTTGGAGAACAAAAAAACCTTCCTTTATTTCTTCCCTTTTTCACATTCCAAGAACTGGCATCTTTGATCTGATCATGGAGGAAAATAGCCAGCTGGCTTAGGTGCCTGTGCAGTGCAGATTGACTCCATCAAGAGGAAGCTTGAATGTGTGCTAACCACAGCCTTTGCAAAGCTGCCAGGGGGCCTGAGGAAGCCAGAAGGTCTGATCCACTAAATGGACCTCATCTGAACAACTTCTTTCTCTCTTTAAAATTTAACCCTTTAACATGCCTATAGTATAGGCATTCAACTTTTCCTTATTGGGTCATTCTGAAATCAAGAAAAAAAATAGACATCATTCTTTAGGTAAAAGTACTTACCCTGATAAGGCATCTGCCCATAGGTGATTATTTCAAACAGGAGAATCCCAAAGGACCAGACATCTGATTTAATGCTGAATCTGTTGTAGCGGATTGCCTCTGGGGCTGTCCATTTCACTGGGAGTTTTGTTTCTGTCCTAGCTTCATACACTTTTTCACTTTCTACCTATCATGGGTAAAACAAAACAAACCGGTTTCAGATCTGCTTCTGCTTAAGCATCTGACTGAGCTCAGCATGTGCTTAATCTTATCTTTTAACAAAACTCTTGTTTTTCATGTAAGTGCCCATTTTCTGAAGTCTACCATTGGATTCAGCTTTGCAGTTGAAAAATGCGGAGGTTTCATCAGAGGGTTTTCTAAAGCATTTATCATTTCAAGCAAGCACACAGCATTGGAGTGGCTCCTGATTAATTATGACTTGCTGCTGTGAATTCTGGACCTGGCACGCAAGATTTCAAAAGTCTGTCAGGAGTGGCAGGGGCAGCATCCTGCTAATACTAGAGACCAAATGTCTCCACGTCTGTCTACAGTAAAGAGAGAAGGCAAGAGCAAGAGTCAATTAATTTCAGAACCTTTCTTCTGTGATTTATTGTGGTGTTGAAGGGCCATTGACTATGATAACAGTCGTTCAAGCAGGTTTTTGGGGAAGAAAGAATAAACTCTGATTTAAATTAACATATTCGTTTCCAGTGAGCTAATTAATGTGGTGTCGGTGAAAGACACAAAAAACATTGCTGAGTTGCAAAAAATTGGAATCATGTCCTCAAAGGTTTATCACACAGACATCTAAATTTTGTGAACATTTCTTCTCTCTTTAGCTCCTACATGTAATTTAGTGTACACAACTCACACCTAAGCTTCGGTCAAGTTTTTCACATGCAAATCCAGACGTACACGTACCAGATTTTGCTTTTTTGATTATTTAAATACAGAATGTTTGTTTCCCAGCTGCAATGCTCGATAGTTTTGAAAATACTGGTTGTTATTGATTTGTATCTCTATACTTATACAGTTGGCATCTTGACCATAACACTAATCTTTAGAAACAAGAAACATATCCATTATGAGCATTGTTCATTTAAAAAGATATATTTTTATGTTAAAAAAACTTGTAATATGAACTTATGCATATTTAGAAGAATCCAAATTAAATTAAAATAATTTTCAAAGTCTCTTGATGCCTTTGTTTAGCCATAATTCTATACTTCAGTATGTAATAAATCCAATTCTGTTATGAACTTCAATTTCTGCTGCTTGAATGGAAAAACAAAATGAGATGCAGAAGACATTTTTCTCTGGTTTTCCTTCTCAGTGCAAGAACATAAAAAATAATAAAACCCAAAAAACACAGACTCAGAAATTATGGATTTCATATCGAACTCCATAAAATATGGCAAAATAAATTTCTCCAACACTGATTAAATCACTTTCAGAGGTAGAAAATCTCATTTCTAAACTACAGCTCTTTAATTGGGATACTTTGGTCAGTGATCCTTGGCATCTCTGCCCTCAAAGACTAGAGAAAAAAAACCCAAAATGGTGCAGTGGCAAAGAATTTGCAACTGGATCAGATTTAAAGTTCTGAGAGCTCATTTTACAAACTTTGCTGTTAGCTGTGGAGAGGAATAAGGTTTTTTCATTATTACTACCTGCAATGACAAGCACCATGGAGGCAGAAGGGAAGTGAACAACAAGAGAATATATGTCAATACATTTTTATATGCCTTCCCTTACAGACCCAGGTGTATAATTTTTCCATCATTCCTCTCCATGTTGCAAACATTGTGGATAAAGTTGTCCAGCAAAGGGTATTGATTGCCAGGATCCTTCCTGGGTGGCTGGGTGGGAAGCAGACACTAGGATTTTTCAGACTGGCACAAAGGCACAGGACAACTTCTAACCTTGCATGGGATAATGCAGGTAGAAGATGCAAGTGAACATGTTATAGGTCCTTTTCTATCTGGACCTGCCTTTGTCTCAATTCATAAATTCAGGGCTACAATTAATTCTTTAGTGGGCCTCTTCCACCTTGTTCTCCAGAGTTAAAAGCAGGGACAATTAAGCATTTCACAACCTACCTTAAAAACCCTTGCAAGTCCAAAGTCTGCCACTTTGTAAACATTATGCTCACCAACAAGAACATTCCTGGCTGCCAGATCCCGATGGATATAGTTCTGAGATTCAAGGTATGCCATCCCAGAAGCCACCTGAGCAGCCATGTCTATTTGATGTGTCAGGGAGATTTGAGAGCCCCCATCTTCTGTTTAAAAAGGAGATGACAAGAACAACATAAGAACAAGAAGATGCTGATTTCAGACACAAATAACTGAAAACCTGCGTGTTTCAAAAAGCCAACACAAATAAACCAAACCATGCAAAGTAACATCCCAGCCAAATGACAGGGATTACTGAATGACATTATTTCTTTCCCAATAACCAAGTAACAGTGCTTGTCCCATCTTCTCTAAAAGAGTAGATACTTCATGCAGGAGTTAATCTAGGCTAGAAAGGAGCTGCTAACACAGTCCAAAGAGAAAATCTTTTATCTACTGATAGTAGGCACCTTTCTGAGAGGTTCATAAAATTATTCCAAAATGTAAGAGTTAATGTCAGTACTCAGTGGTTATAGCCAGAGCTGACTAAAGATGGGAAAGCACAGAATTATCCTTGTTCCCTGTTCTCCAATGATTCTGACTAGGAAAAATACTATCTGCTGTCAAGTATAACTAATTTTCACTTTCCAGTCCACTTGACTGCTTCACAGTCTTATCTCTGTTGTTGCTATTCAAGAGTAGGACTCCTTGAGATGCTTTCAAGCTGCCTCCTTCTCCAGTAGAACTTTTTGAAGCAGTGTGCATGTCATTCTTACCACACTAAGATAAGCAAATTCCAGAACTTGAGATTTGGCAATTCAAGATCATTGTTCAAACAATGCAGTAGAAGAGCTTTGAGCTGAGCAACTTGCCTACACAAAAGAAGGAAAGTCTCAGGCCATGAAAAACTGCAGCCAAAAATTGTAAGACAAGTAACAAAAAAAAAAATAAATTCATTGGGGTGTAACACATTAGAGTACAAATTCAGGGCCTTTCTGGCATTTTGGGGACAGCTAACCAAACTTCTCAATGCAAAGAATTTAAACCACATTCAAGGACCACTTCACACAATCCCAAATGATGCAGCACTAAAGTATGGCTTTCTACCTCTGTAGCCTCTAACACTTAAAATAATTTCAACTTTGTTTCAGAACCTTAATATCAAAAAGCTGAATCCTTGCTGCTAGTCTTATTGGCAGCTCTTTGTCATCAGGTTGGTGACTTTTACTTACTGCCTCTGTGTTACAGAAATAAAACTTCTGTAGCTGGCAGTTTTCTCTCACTTTCTCACTTATATTTAATTGATTTGTAGTGATAGCGTGTCTTAGCATTGTTTTATAAAGCCTCCCTCAGTTCTGGCATTTTATTTGATGCATCCTTGTCATCCCACCTTCTGAAGAGTGTGAAATGCCATTGTTTACTAATGTATTCTGCAATATCCAGGCCTTGAATTTCCTGCTCATCTGGATGTTCTGACATAATTAAGAAAAAAAAAATTAATTATCCTGTATGTGTCTTACTCTACATCCTTTTTGAGGCTAAAAACTCCAACACTAAGATTATTTACCTCTATTGTTGACTCAGAACATCTATTCCTCTCCTACACATATTTTTCATACTGCCTGGACTTTTCAAGAAGAGAGGGACAAAAACAGGGCTGTGTGAAAATGCACTCAGTCCACAGAATAATACAACACTTTGAATATTTTCAGTTCTGGTAACTGGTAGGCATCAACATTTATTATTCATCTTGTTAGACAAAGATATAAATCCACAAATGATGCTCATGTTATATTTAATGCAAAAATAATTACATGTTTTCAAGCACTTGTATTAATACTTGGGTTTTGGAAGTTAGGCTATGTCAGTCAGCTTTAAATATTCACTTTCACACGACTTCATCTGCACATGTTGTGAACTACCTGCTACTGAGAGCAGACAAAGATATCAACCAAGCTGAGCACAGGTTTGTCACTGGTCTGCTGATGCTCCAGGACAGCCTGACTTAAGCTTGCTCCAAGAGACAAAATAAAGCACTGCCAGTGGAAAAAGGGGTGACTCATCAGCCTCATGTTTAATGAGCTGCTTCAGTGCACAATAGGAGTTAGAACTGCTAAACCCCTCTGTTTTATTTCCTGCAGACCCTCAGGTGCACCATGCTAAAGGACAAGGATAAGATCCACCTCTAACACTGGAGTGGCAGCTGAAGGACCATTTCTTTCATTTGGGCCTGTTTGGAATACCAGACTGGGCTGACCTATGCCTTCAGCCTGTGGCCTGAGGGAGAGGAAGAGGCCACTCTTGCCCTGGCTGCTGCAGTATTTTTTGGATGATCTCGCTGTAAGCTGGTTCTGTACTGCAGCCATTCTGGAGCTAAAGAAGGGAAAGACTTAATGAAGAGTATCAGCTGACCAGGAGCTATAACTTGTGCACAAAGAGGATGAAATCACAGGTGTCTTTGGGATCTAAGATGTAAATCATGTATGTCTGTCTCATAAAGATTTCTGACTACACCCCCAAAACTCCAGGGCCAGACAGAGCACACAAGTTCAAGCACAACTTCTCTGGACAAAGTATCCCAGTACCTCACCAGCCTCATAGTGAAGCATTTCTAAGAATTACTTAATGTAAACCTACCATCCTTCAGTTTAAAGCCATTCCCCCTTGCCCTGTCTGGCCTTGTAAAAAGTCTCTCTCCAGCTCTCTTATAGTCTCCCATTAGGTACTGGAAGGCTGCTCTAAGTTTATATCTAGCTGGCTAGCTAGCTATAGATATAGATGTTTATATAACTTCCACACTCAAAATCAAGCACTACTGCTGAATTTATAAATAATCCCATGAATTATTCTTTAACTGATCAAGAAAATGTAGCACCTCCATGTTCTTTTTTACTAATATTTTTTTACAAAACCCTCAACCTCATATAAAAAATTTATTAGAGAAATATTAAAGAAGTCTTGGGGTCTGCACCCTGTTCTAAGCAATCTATCACAATTGCTCATGTAGAAAAGACAGGAAAATAGTCTCATTGACAGATATCTGACAAAAAAAAAAAAGAGAAAAATAAATAAGCAGCACTTTCTCCAGTGAGGGCATTGCCTCCACAATAATTCACTGAATTTCAAGACTGCATACCTGCCAGAACAAGCCCCAGGCCCATCAGAATTGATAAAAGCACTCATACATTTATGACAATTTCATTCACTTCCAATAACAAAGAAAAGTTTTCAGGTGCATTTTTCTCATAACTCTGCATAGCAGTGTTCATCAAGAACTCTCCCAAAGTACATTTACAGTGTGCACAGGGAATTCCCATGTCCATCATTATTAAGTAGCTGTTATTATGGAGAAATGTGATAGTAACTGTGAATAAAATATTGGGGACTTTTAAAGCTGGAAAAGCATACCATACAGTTCTAGAAGGGGAATAGGAATAAAGAATATCTCTGGACTTTCCTCCACTCTAGTTTGCTTTATTTACCCATAGTGCACACAGAGACAGAAGCCTTCTGGAAATATTTTCCTGTTTCCTGCAGAGTCTGAATCTCAAGAAAACTTACCAGGAGCTCTGCACTCCAGCTGATATAGATCACTTCCAGCCACAGAGTTCTATACAAGCTTCAAATCTCTTTCCTTATTAGTCTCACTGACAGCAATGACTTTTCTCTGACCACAATACCTATCAAAACCCTTGGATCTCTGCTTCCACCTCTTAGTTCTGTGCACCTCCCTGTTCATTGGTCATGAGACAAGGAGGGACAACATTAGACTGGGTTTCAACTGGACATTTTTATGGATCTCTTGATGGCTTCCTGGAAACCAGCTGACTTTCCACAGCCTCTGATGAAGAGCTACAGGAGTGAGCACTTAGGCAAGGAGCAGGGTGCTGTGCATATGCTGGCAGCTGATCCACACACAGGCTGCAGCACTAATGTGCTCTGGACATGTTTACTCTATACACACTTAACAGACCAATTTTCACCTCTGCAATAGCTGTGACTCATCCTGGCTTTCTCAGAGCTATTTCTCCAGTGCAATAAATGTTTCCATGCACAGCAATCATTTCCTGATGTGCCAGGCTCTTTCAATCAGATAAGCTGCAATCTGCACACAAAGGCACCAAAGATGAGAATTTGAAGGAAATTTGTGCCTTGCTACCTCTGGCCAGCAAATGCCTACAAAACTGTGGATGATCTGGCCCAAGGTCATGGCAGACCCACTCTGGGCAGCTCCTGGTAGGGCTGTCTCTGTGTCTCTTTCTTTAGCTGTAATTGTGCGCGGACAGACCCACATTTAAAAATGGTTCCCCAGAGAAGATGGGGGAAGGCATGTGTCATGGCAAATGCTGTCTGTGGTATTACACAGGGCTTTGCTTTATGGGATGTAAACAGAGAAGAAATTCAGCATGACAACTGTGGCAAACATTTTGTCTTCAAGAAATCATTACAGCTTTAAAGACATTTAGCATCTCAGAGACATCTGTTAAACTGAAAATGGGTAACAACACTAGAATCAAGCATTTCCCAATAACAGGAATGAACTTAAAAGTGCAATCATTATGCTAGTCTTTTCAAGGCTGTACAATTTTATTTTTAATTATTATTTGCCTTCAAAAGAGCACTTTGAAGCTACTGAGATAAAAGCCGTGATGAGATAAGCAAGGGACAAATTTGTAGTGAAAAGCTATCCCTGACTAGTAATAGTTTTCAAAGCTGTTAAGTACATTTTGTGGAAGTGCTTCTATTTCATGTCAAATATGATGACCTATCCTTCTGGATACTTATATTTTTACTCCTTTGTGTATGTTCCCATCTACTCCTAGAACTGGATGAAAAAATATGGGCCATTATAAGGCAAGAATCAGACTGTGGATGTGATCCTTTCCTATTTTTTAAATATCTTGGTTGTCAAAAATTCATAAACCATTCTGCTTTTCTCACCCCCACACATGGTATATAATGCAGCTTTTACATTAAACCAGGGTGTTGTACTTCTATCTTTTATGTTAGTGTATTTACTAAACTGCAGCACCCTTAAAATGAGTTTAGAGTAATTTGCTTACTTTTAAGGTATTCTAGGAGACTTCCATATCTCATCAGCTCGGTAATAATATAAATTGGGTCCTCCAAAGTGCAGACAGCATAAAGCTGTATAAGCTTTGGATGTCTCAAGTTCTTCATTATTTGTGCTTCCCTCAGAAAGTCCTTTGGATCCATTGAACCTGAAACAACAGCATGTAACAAAACTGAGGTTATTACAGGGCTTTCTACCGGCAATCTTAAGGGAGTAACTGATGTTGTTTTCTGTCTTTGAAAGTACATTAACATCTCAAATCTTCACAGTTCCCACAGAAGAGACAGTGCAGCTGAAACAAACATTTAATGAGTGAAACCTGCCAGTTATGTAGGGATGGAGAACATATGTGTCCCAGCCACCAGAAATATAAAGGCTAAAATCAACCACCGCAAGGACTCCCCAAAACAGAAAAAAAAAGTGAGGTGAGAATGTTAAGGAATACATTTTAAACAAACAACTGGCTAATGAAAGGATCAGAAACTGAGGTGAGAATTTCTAGGTAATGAGCATAAAACTTCTGAGAGAAAACTAGTGCTGCAATAAAAATTTGTTGCACTGTATTTTCAGCTTCACCAATTAAAGCCTGAAAGCACTGAAATCAGTTTAGCATATGCAGAGATGGTGTGTGCATTTTATACATACAAAAACAAATAGCTATTTATAATGAGCATGCAATAGCAACCTTATTAGATATTCCAATGTATGTACAGATGTAACATTAATTTTACAATCCCTTAAATACCAAAGTGTCTTAACAGCCAACATTTTAAGTGTTACATAAGATCATATGTATATCATGTGTATAGATCAATATTCTATTCATATACATAGTGAGCTAATGTAGAAACTATGTCAAAGAAGCAATCAGAAATGGCACTGGAAGCTAAAGTCATGGCAAATATAAGATTAAAGCTCATATGTCCTGAATAGGGATTAGGAAAACATGCACAAATAAAGAAGCAAAACTTTCTAGATGAATGATCCAGTAGTGATCAGATATTGTCAGATGTTTGAGGAAGTTGGTGAATAGTATCTCCTTCAAAATGCTTGTACATGCAAATGTGAAATTATTGAACTACTCACATGTCTCCTTCTTCCTAAATCAAAATAATTTAACTAAGAAAATATTACACGTAATACTGTGGAGGAAAATATTGAGTTATCTAACTTATTCTCCTCTATGCCATGTCTAAAAACAAAGTTGTCTTACACAGTAAGTAGACTAAGTAATTTGAAAAGCCAAGGCTTCAAGAGTAAGAGTTTATGTTGGGTTTTTTTTTAATATTAGGGAACCTATAAAGTTCATTTGGGAGTTTGATTGTCTTCCAAACATAGATGTTTAAATTAAGTGAAACTCTTCAAGGATGTTAAATGACTCAGCAATAAAATTCCAACAGAAAATCTGTCCTACAAAAAGGACTGGAGAATCAGCCTGTTCGCCCAACACATACCTTGAATGCCACCTCCTGAAAAATGCCCCAGCCTATTCCCAAAACATCGGAATGATATGCATTAATACAAGAAGAATGATTCAGAAATGCTCCTGACTTAGACTTTATGAAAAAAGAGATACTTGACTACTTCGGAGAGCAAAGATTACATTGCAAGGAACAGGTACTCCTCACTTCCATTTCCTCATACTTCCCTTGGCAATCCCATATTGCCCAGTTTACTGAGACCTTATAGGATGTCATTAGGAGGAGTGGTCAAAGTATTTGGATTTCCATACTATCAATAAATGGCAACCCGCCAATAATACCTCAACAGGTACAAGCTCTTTACTCACTGTCAGAGGAAAGTGGGGGCCTGCACAAAGAGTAAATGATCACACCTGGTCTGGATAAAGCAGAGATTATGACAGGGAGAAAAAACAAATTATCTGTGATGCTTGCTCTATATCCTTTTCTTGTTTAGAACAGCACAATGTTTACAGATTTACTCAAACTTTCCACCAATTCTAGATTTAAAAAATAATTTAAAAGTCTAGGGTTCTCTTTATAGCCTTTGGACTCATTTTGATACTGATTTAAAATGTTGCCCGATTTGCTTACTTGTTTCAAGATATATGCATTGTCATGAAAATCAACGTAAAACCTACAGAGAAGCTGCATGGTGTGAAGCATTCTGCCTCCAAAAGCAAATGCATCAGCCTGACTAATGATATAGCATCAGTGCCAAAATTTGACAAGTTGATCTGAAAAAGGATAAAGTACTTGCTCATTTAGGGTCTACCAAATCATGGACCCTCTATGGGTCATTATACAGGGTTTCTTCACTCCATAGAATTTGACAGTCTGATTTGTTCCCACAGTCAAAATTTGCCTACATGGAATTTCTCAGTTTAATCATGCTATAAACTTCTCCCAACAAACTGAAACCAAGCAACATGTTTTTCAGATATGACAACTTTCAATAAATTGATTAAGAAGGAAGTATTCCATTAATTGAGTAGCTGCAAATCCTTTTCTACACTGTAAAAGGAAGTAACAGTGACAATAATGAAAACAAACCAGAAAAAGATCAATAAGTATTTCCTACATGTTTTACAGAGCATATGTAACCTTCAGTTTTACTTAGTTTATATCTTTAAATAGTACAAGTAGCAGACAGCACCCAAATCTCCCACAGGCCTGTAAATCTTATACTGTACTTAATAAGAAGATTGGATGCCAACCGATAAAAATTTAAAAGTGTCTTTATGAGTGTTCTGCCTAGATTAGGTTTTAGCAACTGAATAAGCAAATTAAAAACTGCCTCTAAAAGCAACCAAATATGCTAGTTACAAATTAGTTGGATAAAGCCTGTCACAATAGTGGCAAAGAATTTACACTACATCCCTTTGAGGCAGGAAAGACATGCCAAATGGAGTTTCAAATAACTGACGGGGGTTTAACTTGTAGTTGAATATGTATGTTTTTAATGAAATGTACATTTTCACCTGTAAGTGGCAAGCATCAGATAAAGGACAGATTACTGTAAGTAGAAATTACTTAGAATAAAAAAAATAGTTAACATAAGCCTTTATTGAAACAAGTGAAGGTTTATTTTGTGTGAAATACCAGTTTGGGAGTAAATTTATAAGGACCTGAAGAAAATACGGTCTTAAAAATCTGGTTTTTGAATGAAAAATGTTTTTCTAAATGTCAAAGTTGTTCTTCAGAACAAAGTGTTGGAATCTCTTTCTTTGAGATGTTCTATATTGCGATGCTTTGCCAGGAATCACCTCTAACTTAAGCCTACTTAAAACAGATATATCAGTTCTGATTAACTTCTCTTTGAAAATATTTTGTTCTAGATCTGAGGAAGCGACATATTCTAACATAAACACTGATAACCTGGAAATTAGTTAGAGAGGAAGGTTAGTTATTTTCCAGATTCTACTGGCCTATATGTAAATGGCCCTTAAATATTTGACAAACTCATTGCAAGACCCTTTGTTTGCAACTTTTCAATACACCTTCCCAAATTGCTTCAAAGTACCTTTGTACTTCAGAGGAACCTAGCCCTCTAAGTAAGGTTTATAGAAAATTAATTTATGTGGAGGCTGCATTAAGCATATAAATATGATCTTCTGAAGAATTTCATGAGTAATAAAGAAATAAAATTTTAAAACTAAGTATTTGGCAACACAAGAATCTAAAATAGCCTATTCATATTAACAGACAAATAATATATGTTTCTGCATGTTCTCAAGCAGCTTTGTCACCATAGAGAAGTAAACTTACACATCAGTGTAAGGCCACATACTGACTTAAATGGAATAAAAAATCTCTTTTTTTTCCAGGGAAACTGGGGTACTTCCCTGAGTGCAAAGCTTTTTACACTGCATATATTTTAAATAGATGACAAATTAGGGAAATGAAAATGTTATGAAAAACTCCACTGACAGTACCAACCCAGACACTAGTTTGGAAAAGCCTCCTGAAAAAAAAAAAAAAAAAATCATACTTGAACAGTTTCCATGCTTGGGAGAAGCATTGGGAGATGCTTTACAATGTGATAATGACAAATGTATGCGCCAACTTCAACAGGCATAAGGAACTTTATCAGATACAATTAATTGGTGATGATAGATGTCTGCTTCACATGCTGGCAGCTGGAGAAGCAAGCTAGCCCAGACAATGGGTTCTAGAAAATCCATCACACTCAACATAGGATAAAGTGCAAATCCCTGCTGCAATGATTTCCACTTAAATAGAAAAAAACAGTGTCTCAGTGAGGAAATAAAAACAGAAATGTGAAATTACATGTTCAGGGACCTGCATCAAGACAGTGCTGTGCAGAGGCAAAACCAGAAACAGAAACTGCTGGTTTCTAGACTGTTTTCCTATCTACTGATCCCTGCACCTTTTTGAAAACTATGGGTCAGTAGCTCAAAAGTTAGAGATGTTCTTTAAGGCAAAGATTTTCTTATGTTTTTTTTTTTTTCATTCACACATTCATGGCTATGGTTGTGGCTGGTAAAATGTCACGGATGTCTCCAAAGTGGAGACAACTGAACCAATGAACAAATAAAAGAATTAGCTGAATGAAAGCATCACATTACTTCTGCTTTCTGTTTGCAGTCACACTGATCAACAGATTGCAAAAGGAATAAGGAGAGGTAATGGACAAGACATTGACAACAATATTTGACAGCAAAGAGCAGAATGATCTCAGGGATTTTAAATTGTTGTAATTGTGCTGGAGGGACAAGGGGTGGATTGTGTGCAAATTGTTGACTTTGGTTTTGTAATTGTGGTGTTTTGCTTTTGGTATGGAGAATTCTTTTTCTGGACACGGGGTTTGAGGTGTGGCCTCACTGGCACTGAGCACAGAGGGACAATCACTGCCCTATTCCCGCTGGCCACACTATTTCTGATACAGTCCAGGATGCCATTGACATCATTGGTTTTAAGCCTTTTAGTAGCAATAGCTAAAGATTACTTTAAGTCCAGAAAAAAAATTGTTTGAGAAATGAGAAGGACACTATATAAGAAGAATCTGCATTTAGCCTTTCTAAAGACAAATGAAAATTGGTTTAACCCACCCTGTGTTTACCTCCAGAATGGAAAGAACAATTAATACATTCAAATAGGCTTTTATTTTATTACAAGAAGACATAGCAAGGGTTAAAGAGAAGACATCAGGCAAATTCAAATGTGAAATTAGGTGCAGATTCTTATAGTGCCTTCATCTTAGGACTAGAGGACTTCTCATTATTGTGTAGTCAAGAACAAGCTGTGTTTTGCTTAAATATAAATGCTAATCTCAGCAGAGGGATGATGTGTAATGGCATATAACAGCAAAGTATTCTGACTATATATGGTCTAGAACAGATGTCCTCTGCAAAATAATGCTCAACAGAAAAACCCCAAGTAATAGAAATCCTTTCTGGCCTAAAGGCCTTTAAATCTATGATATTCTGATTGCATTATACTCTTCTCTATTGTTCACCATGTGATTACCCTTGATCAACCTGCTCCTGCTTGGTAATAAGAGCATTGTTCCATTTCACAATTTCTCTGGTGGTAAAGCCTTTTTAGCAGAACCCTTTCAATCTCAGCCCCTTATATTTCCAGATCACTCTAAGTTTAACACACTCCTCTGTTTTCCTGATGACTTGCTTGCCCAGAGAGTCTACACTGTAAAACAGCTTAGTGAAAAGTCTATAGTTTAAAATACACCCACTCCTGCCCTAGTGTAAAGACAAGTGATTTTAGATCTTTCAGCCAAGCAACAGGAGAGGCGTACTTTCCAGTGTGTTACACTTGAAGCCTGAAACATTGCTTATGTGACTCCTGGAAGCTTCAGTCATCAGCACAATGTATTTCTTGATTACTCATTAACTATTATATTTTTCATTCATTTATCAACTTTATGTTATGGTGAATGAAATTACCAACCCAACCCTTTGCTGAAATGTTCTTAGTACCAAGGTAAACATTTATTACTCAGTTTAGAGTGTGGGTATTGTGGTTTGTCTTTAATTAGTGAAGTGTTATTCCTCATGAGTAACAATGAAAATAAGCTATGGAAAACCAGTGTGCTGATTACTGTAAGACACTCCAATTGCCTTTCACTATACAGTGAAAAACAACGTATAGAAGATGATAATTCCCCGGAGAAGTGATATTACAAGGTTAATTGCTTACATTTATGACCGTTTGAACTGTTTTGGTAGAATGAGATAGTTCACAAAGTACAGTGATAAGAAATTCAGCACTAACTATATAACTTATCAGGACAGCTTTGGGAATCAAAGTCTTCATTCTGTTCACAGCTTCCTTATCACTGTGTTAGGTCACAAACTCTCTCCTATCCAAGCACTGCATCCAGATGGGGCTTCTGTCTGCCCTAACTCAATACAACTTAGCATGCAATCAGTGAAACTACTGCTGTTGACCTTAGCAAGAGTCAGACTAGAGTGGAAAAAACTGTGATAGAAAAAGTATTGATTAATAGAGCCCTTTTTCCCAGGTGAACTATGATACTACAAAAAGAACCACAGTTGAAGGAGTTTCTTCCATTATACTGTGCTAGTCAAACATGATAACAAGTTTGCAGTGAGTCTTATGTTTATTCCAGTGAAAAAGATTTCAAGTTGGTTTCTCTTTGCTGAGTCACTAGGGAGATGCACCTGTTCACTGAAAAAAGTGTTGTCTTTCATATGAATTATAGAAGGTCTTTAGTCTGAACAGTTTTTATATTTTCAGTTAAGCAGAGAAAAAAAAAAAGGTGCTTATTTTCTTTCAGTTTGCATATTCCCAAACCACAAAAGATATCCTGATGCAAGAGAGCTTTATATGATTAAATTCCTCCCTGTTCAGGAGACCATTCAAGCAGTGCTCAAGCGTATTGATCTTACATTGAATCAAAGATCTGAATCTGTTCTGTTTCCTGAATCAGGTTCATTAGTGACCAACACAGGCTTTTTCAATTAACCACAGCTAGTGTTGTTATCTCTTTTTAAAAAACATGTATATCATCCAGGCTGCCTCTCTTATCTATGTGGTTCTTGCCATCTGCTGGCAGATATTTTATGTTGTCAATTGAAAATGCACAAATTACTTGAAGTAAATGAAACATAATTAAGAAAAATGCTAAAAGCTGTATTAGTCACAATCTTATATTACATGCAAATAGTGGGTATAAATGTTGTGTATCAAAAACTTTTAAAATTTTGATTCAAGCAATACTAGGATTAAAGCACTCCTTAAGTACAAACTTAGCATTGTAAATATTCAATATCACTGCTATATAGGACCTAATCACTAGAAAAATCCTAGTGATGACAAACTGCTTGTAAATCAATTACTTCATCTACAGATTATTCATTTCCACACAAACAATACTATAAAAAATAGTTACAACTCTTGTTGTGGTTTCCTTTTTATGTGACACAGATGTTGAATTAATTCAGCTCATCTAGAAACAAAAAACTCTATAAAATTCTAATTCAAAATAAGAAAGACTATCTGGACCTAGATCTTTACTAATCTTCATGTCTAGGTGTGTGGATTTTAAGCATATACAGAAAGGTTCTCTTTGCTGCAGCATTTAATAAGTAAAGGAGCACTCTTGCTAATAGTTCATGTTATCAACTGTTAAGAATAATTCACATACCTGGTTTTAATGTTTTGATTGCCACGGGGATGGTATTATTCCACAGTCCTTCCCATACTTCACCAAACTGACCAGATCCTAATTTTTTCACCAATTTCAGAGATCGTCGGTCTATCTCCCACTGATCAACAGTTTTGTAAGACAAATCAAAAGTAGCAGGAGTTTGCATCTCGAAAATAAATAATACAATAATTGAGACTTCAACAATATATACAAATCATTGTTAACTGGAACAAATCATGTACAAATCTATGTAAAGCTGGAACAGATATAAATAATATTTCTTTAGAGTATACACATGCAATAAAGTGAGCTGAGAAAATAAAATACAACCCTCATACTGGGTGCTCTTTGTTAGAAATGAGAAATATGCTAAAGAAAATATCCTCCGATTAAAAGCAAAAATTAGAAATCATCCCTCTAGCAAGCTCTTTGAACAGTGACATATTGGTTGCCAGAACCTTGTGGTTTTGTCTCAGTAGTTACATATGGACAGCTAGAGTTATGAAGCTGGCAATTTCATCTCCATATATATTTATAAAAAGGTACTCATAAATCATGATTTGGCATCCCCCCCCCCCCCCCAGACACCTGATGATTTTTTTCAAAATGGCATGGTATTTTATTATTAATTTGTCAACCTCAAGGATGAAACTGTAACACTACCCAGAACTTCCTGAAAACAAGCAGATCCTTAACATTCTGAAATGGTAGAAACAGATATGGGGTCAACACTTTCTGATAGATAGCTGGTGAGTCAGCTCACAAAAAATACTTTGCACAGTGTGGCATCCATGCCTTACCTTTAGGCATGGTTGCCTGAGCAACACGCAGAGGCCATCATTGTTCTTGCTGTAATAGTCAACCAACTTATTCAAAGTTTTAAAAGTTTTCCTTTTGGTTAGGAAAAAGCTTCCATCCATCCTTTTGATCCTGTAGTGCTTCACAGATGTACCATCAAAAACTAAAAAGATTTAAGTACATTAATTGTCCAGGAATAATTGAAGTAGTACAATACCATTTATACCCAAACCATCATAATGTTCCTAAATATATTTATTAGGACCTTAAAATAAAATATTTTAGTTCCAAATATGACAGCTTTAAAGAAAGCCTCTTTCAAACCAAAGCCCATTGTTCAGATAGCTTAAGGCATCTTGTCTATCAGTCTTCAATTATTCAGATTTGGAGAACTGATGTAGAACTACATAAATATATCTTCTGTGAGGCAGCTTGTGTTTCCCATATTTGAGGACACCAAAACCAGCCAAAAGCATCTAACTGACAGCAATCATTTAGTCAGTTTTTAATTTCCTTTATCGTCCTTTATTTTAGTGTTAACATTCCAAATAGCAGCTGCTGGGCTGGCAGGCATTTTAGAGGAAACAGATATTCCCTCCACATAGCCACGGTTCTCTGAAAAGTACTCACATTTTCCAATGGATTTTTTTGAAATTTGTGCATGTTTGCAATATATAAAAATCAGATGAATAATGCTGTATTTCAGGTAGTTGATTAATTCCTTTTCAGTGGAATGTTTTTTACTCTAATCTGTTGTGTCTTAATCAATAAGGCTATTCCTCACCTCCTGTAAGTTACTTATCTACATATCGTGACAGCCAAAGTGTCCTTCCCTGTGACCATTACAGCACTCTTTAAATGTGTCAGAAAAAAGGCTCAGCCACTGAATGCTGGGGCTAGACATCAACCAGCACAAGATCAGAGAGAGACAAAAAACGTATATACATCACACACACACAGAGACACACAAAAAAAAAAAAAGAAAAAATAATTTAAAAATAGTTTGGAGATCACTCCTTCAGAGATTTTTACAAAGGAATATCAGTAGAAGCAATAGCAGGCTCAGAATCATCAGAAAGGGCAGTTCATAGGAGCTGAATTGTATTTGTAAAGGTATTTAGTCACTTATGTATGTGGGTGTCATTTCCTAGACCCTCCATAATTTAGACATCACTGTCCATGTTCAATGGGCAGTGGAGAGTTTAAATTACATACAGAAGGGTAATTGATTCAGCTCCAAAGAACTCCACAGCTGTTAGCTCTAACATTAGCAGTGTTCCACAATAAACCTATTAAATAGATTCTTTATACTATACCACTGTATTCATCTTGACAATAGCTTTGGTGATAATAACAGAAGAATACATAGTTGCATATTGTATGTACAATAAATATAGAATTGTCTACATGAAATAAGCCAAGCTGATAGGAATAATAATTTCTCTCATCATCTAAATGATGAAATAAATGAGGAAATCTCTCCTTCCTTAAATATTATTGTGGATGATCAAATATTTTTGCACTGTACTGTGTGATTGTCATCCAAGACCACCAGAGAGCAGACAGGAGCTTTTCAAAATACTACACCACAGGTAGTATTTTTAGGAATCTGGGAACTTACAATTCTGCATGAGGACAAGAATGAGAATATTTGTAAACAAAATCCATATTACATTGCATTTTTGAAATAATATTTCTTTTTGAATTAACAGCCATAATTACTACTTTTTAACTGTAAAATTAATGAATGTTTTTGTGATGTGCCATTTGGAAATGGTGCTGAAGCAAAATGAAGGAAAGAGTAATTCAGTAACAACAGACTGAAAATGTAATAACTTTTCCAAAGTTCACAGGAAAATTAATCCAGACAAACTAATTAGCCTTTATGATGCATTGAACAAAAGGGCAACAGGATGACTGTGTTAATCCAGTCTCAGTTGTATATCACAAGTAATAGTAGTTTGACTACCTGATTTATTTATTAGCAGTATTTTAACTATTATTTGCAAAGCAGCTAATATTAATAATGCAAAAGCTGGTTTGAAGGATGTGCTCTAATTTCTTAAATGAGGTTTTTAAAAAGCCTTATGATTGACAGCATGCAGGTCAAGTGGTGATTTGTGTGGAGAAACTGAAGAAAAATTTCTGCACTCATATAGTCTTGTAATAAGTAGCTGAGTTAAGTGCAGTACTAGACAGGGGGTTGTTTACTTTTATTTTAGAGCTGAATTTGGCCGTATAAGTTCTGCAGCACACACTTGAAGTTCTGCAGCATGGCATGGCTCCTCTGCCAAAATTATACTGAGCATATATCACTCAGGAAAGAACTATCCATAATCCCTTCCAGTCATCTCTACGTCCATGCCAGACTACTAACCAGGACAGGATTGTAATTTCAGTTTCACACAGCTTTACAGTAACTGGGTTTGAAGACTGCAGAGGTTTTCTCCTCAGCTTGCCCTTTCCAAAAGAATTACAGCTCCCCATTAAATTTCTACATAGTTTCAGTCTAGCAGAAGGATTATCCTCTCCTAGCTATCCATCTCCACATGATGGGTTAAGCAGAAGTAGATTTTGCCACCTGAAGAATGTGAATAAAATAATTTACTACTTCTTCCCCAGGGCACAAAAATTTATGGTGGCATCAGCAGAGTCCAAACCTTCACCAAATGAGTCATGGAGACAGCAATTTTCCATTACTGCCGAAAACTATGTGTCCCAACAGCTCCTGGGAAAAGCTGCAAAGAGGTGCTGCACTCGCCATGGAGCACCTCTGCTCTGCCTCCATGCCCAGAGAGTGGATGTGGGAGGAGGGTGACTCATGAGATCACTCTCACCAGCACAGCACAGGTGCAGAAGCAGAATCAAAATCATCCTTTTAGTATAGCCATGATTTTGCCAGTTCTGTGAGTCTGCTGCCTTAAACAACTACCTTTTAAACTATGCTGGAGTAGTAGTCTTTTAGAAGCATGGAAAAAATAGCTGAAGAAAACACAAACTATTTACATTGTTATTTAATGCAATAAGTCTTTCAGATTCCATTATTCAGTGATGGGCTAAGTACAGAGCCTCCTGCTATCATTGGCAGTGATACTCAATTAAACTGAGCACATCTAAATTATGGCTTTTAATTAAAATGAGGCAACATCTAAGATGGCAGCAACATGTTTAAAATTTAATGCATTTCACACCAGATGCTGGAGTCATCAACATAAAAATCTGTCGACAACATGTGCATTTTTAAAATGGGCAAAACTATTTTTAAAATGTCAAACACCCTAAAATTATAGTAATACATGTCGGGGGACTATCTGGCTTAATGAGCTTTCCATTTCACTATTCACAGATGATAATAACCTTTCTGAACATGAATTTTAGTTTTAAATTTAAATAATTATTTATTATCCAAATCTCATAAATTGACGTTTTCCCAAAAAGGAAAGTTAGAAGTAAAAAGTGTAATTTTCATGAAAGATTGAACTTTTAATTTTTTTTTTCTTACTAAGGAGATAATTTGTCTTAGTACTCATGAGATTAAATCTCATGAGTATGAAATCAAGCATGAAATACATAAAATCAGTTTATGGGTTCTTGGGTAAAAGAAAAAAAAATCTTCCTCGTCAACTTATTTTTTGCCTAAATGACATGCTGGATGGAGAATTAAAATATTTTCTTAAAGACCTTAATTCTGAGAGCTATCAGAAAGACCTTCTCTTCAAGCTATTATCATCTACTCTGCAATGAAACCAAAAACAGCAATAAAAGCTAGAGCAAAACCAGTCAGACCTACAGAAGATGGGACTTTTGAGGTCTAATATTTCTGGACTGAAAAAATATGAAACCAAAATTAGGGACATATTCCAAAATATTGAGTTGTGATTTCTCCCCTTTCAGTGTATCAGCTACCATGGAGATAGAAGCCATCCTTCTTCCTCAGCTTTAGTGTCTCATAATTCCTTCTGATGGCACAAACAAGAAAGATGCAGGAAGACTCTATTCTCCATAGAACCTGGTGAACTGAATTACCTTCTTACCTACTAATGCTTCCCACAACACAAACCATTTCATTGTTTGCTTTAGAATGCACCAGCTTTCCAAGAAGCAGGCAGTAAGTAATAAGATTATGGACATAAAACATCTAGACCATAGACCATCTAGACTATTAGGTTGGAAGCAAAAGAGCTTGCATAATACAAACAGATACCATTCAGCTAAGCCGATTCAGTAAGCAGCAAATAATATTTAGCTCTTTGGGATGAAGTAGCATGTTAAGGATAAATTATGTTCAACTCTGGGAAGCTGCTAAAGAATATAGCAGCACTGCGAAATGATGCCACCAATAGTGTCTGCAGATTGCTTCAGTTTATCCTCTTTCTTTGCCTAAAAGAGCACAAATGTTTAATAAATCTGAGATGATACATATGTTCATGCATACCTTTTTAGAGGACAGCCCATGTTTGTGCATGAAGGAGAGCTAGCTCCTGCAGCTGGAGCCTTGCCTCTGTGTATATTATTTTCTTCAGTGCCACTTTTACCTTCCTTAATCAAGCAAACCAACACGAAAAAAAACACTGTTGTTTTCATATCTTGCTCTTATAATTCATTATCAAATCTCCTCTTCCCAAATAGGCTTATAAATTTTTTTTTAAATGTCTAAGACAAGATTTCGTAATTGAATCAAGTATACTAGATTAGATGTAATAAATTTTCTATCCAAAATTTGTAACAAAAAAACTAAACAGCAGCATCAAAGGATGATCTTATACCACTACAAATGCTGGCCTAATATTTATTTCATTCTCTTGGATTTTTCTCTAGTTTACCTAAGATACTTCTACTTTCCTGTTAGAGAAGTGGTTAGGATGCAGGATAAATAGTTAATATTTTAAATCTTTCCTAAAAGGAGAAAGAATAATAAAAAGAATTTTCATTTCCACCCCCAGGCGCACAAACAAAAGATTTTTCATTGATTTTTAGTAATGCGCCATGTATGTACATGCCATCATTAAGATAATACTTCTCTTTCCTTCCCTGCATAACACCACCCTGTCATCAGTCTAGCCCAGTCCTTGTTTGAAATCAGCTCATGAATGAACTTGAAGGAAGCTGAAACATGTAACACAGCAATAAGTTGGCACACGTAGAGAAAGCATTTTGAAAGTTCTGTGACTGTAATACAATCCCTGGATGAAAATGTCCACACACAAAGGGGACAGTTCTGTCACAGCTCAGGAGCAGTCTGATTCCTTGCTAAAGGTAGTTTTCCTTTAACCACTTCATGGCAAGGACCAGCTTCCTTGAGGGCAAACTGGGAGTAAACTCTCCCAGTACTGCAAATATCACATTTATTTCAATAAACACCCCTGTATTTCACATTTCTTTGTCTTGGCAATAATAAGCATTCCTCACATTACCACAAGACATTGCAGGTACATACACTTTAATTATAATTGGGAAAGTGAAACCAAGAATTGTTTCTTCACAATATTAAGCTGTGTTTCTGTGTAATGTGCAGAAGGTAAATGACACAGAAACATCCAGGCGAAAGAGGAGTCAATATGAAAGAATCTGGTTATGGACGAGGTTCCTCTCATTTTATTGAAATAATTCTGCCCGTGTCTACTTATGGTTTATTCACAAGCATCAAAATCCTTTCCTGGCTCTGTAATTAATACAGGTAGAACAGGAAGTTTGGGTGTATAACCCTGTTGTCAATGACAACACTATACTCCTGACTCACAGTTGTATGACATGTTTGATGGGAAATGTTCACAGAAAACAACAAATGAACAATCACATTTCCTATCTAAAATGGCAAATACCTACAGAATGAAAAAAAAATTATGTACTTAAATGTGAGTAAAATTATTAACAAATAAGTGTCCTAATTTGGTAATAATTCAGATTCAAATAAAGCACTTAAATAATTTCAAAATGAATCATCATCATCATCAATCTATTTTTTTGCCCATGTTTACAGTGAAATTTTCAATGAAACAGCACTGATTCTAAAACACAGATTTGATGACCTTCCTATGATTTTATCCCTGAAAACAAATAAATATAAACCTAAATGTTAGCTTTAACAGAAATCTCCTTTTCTTAAATTGTAGATATCTGTCAACATGCTTTTATTTTTATTTTTGTTTTCTGTACTAATCAGAGCTGTAGTGTACAATTTTAAAGTAATTTTTTATGCTTTGGTCATGAAAATACTATCTATATTAAGGCAGCTAGAACACTGGAAGTACTAATCATAAAAAAGTTAATTTCTATTCTGAGTATATTGATAAACAAAGTTTATAAAATATAAACTCAAATTACTTTTGCCAAGTTTTCTTTATACAACTCCTGGGGGAAAAAAACCCCACATCATTATGAATTTAATTTCATTTTCATGCCCACAGTTTATTGCTCTTGAAGATGAAAAAGCCCAGACCACCTGAAAAATTTTTAAAACATTGCTCCAAATGAAAAACTAGCATATACCTGAGAGTGAGTATTCGCCTTTTAGACTTTCGCTTTCTCGGATTAGGAAGGCTCCTTCCTTGTTTTCAGGGTACAACAGTTGTCTCTCGGCATCTGCTCGTTTGGTTGAGCCAAAGAACCATCTGAACAAATAAAAGCCATTAATTTTACCACTCAGTGAAACATACCAGGAAGACAGTTTAGCTTTTATAAATATGCTGCATATTTACTAAGAGATAATCTGTGCTATGTTAATTAAATGTCAATAGTATGGGAGAAAAAAAGCCAACAAGAACTACAGAACAAATTTATTGCAAGAAAACATTGCTTACACATTTGAGTGAAATCTGGATTTTATTTCTGATGAAAAGTCTTACTGCTTTCAAGGCAAGAAGGATTCAGAAGTGACAGACTGGCCTTGGCCCAGAAGAAATCATCAAGAAAATTTGCCAAGGCTACAAGGGCAGAAATTGGTGCCAAGCCCATTGATGCCACTTGAACCAGGTAGAGGTGCAGGTATGTGCTAACAACCCAACATCTTAAAAGACAAAAGATCTCTCAAACTACAGAAGAGGTCTCAGATTCCAAGGCATAAATCACCTTGCTTCCCCATTCCACTGCCAACTCAATACCTCAAACGAGTTACTGGCAATTTTTCAGCTTTGCTGCTTTTTGACAAAGAAAACCAGTGTATCCCTCAAGTCACTACAAATATCTCTACACCTGCGATCTGTGAAAATCTACTTAGATCTATGGCTTTTAAAACACTTTTTCCTCTCTAAACCCTGTAGTTCACAAAGGCTTGTTCAAGCAATAATTTTAATTTGCTCCTCTGAAGACAGGATTTATGTCTCTCGCAGCTTTGTGCTGAGTTTAAATTAAGGAGAAATAAGACAGAGATGAGTCAGTATTTTCAACTTCCTTCCAGCAAACATGCTCTTTCCAAGATTAGCTCCACCTCTTATTTGAAGCAAGTGATGATAAATAGGTATCAGAAAAATGCCGTAAGTTCATAGGAGAATTCCTTTTAAATTAATAATAACTAAAATTATTGTACAAACTTCAAATATAAATTAATGCATCACAAGTAAGTTGCCACTTGATTTGTAAATTACTGGTGAAAAGTCATCAACAAACTATTTTAGTATCTGCAAGGCTTGTAGTCATCAAGAGGAATGGAGGAAATAAATGAAAATACTGGTTGATGCCTTAGCTGATCAAGCATGAGGACTGATAAATGGGTTTGTATTAACAAAGAGGAAATAAAAAGAGACAAATACAAACAGCACTAAGCCATACTGAATATGCTTTATTAACAAAAGAAAATTAAAGACAGATTTTCCAAACCATATTCCTGTCCGCTGAGTTGAACATGATTTGGATAAAATAGGTCTTGATACATATTTGGCAAGCAAAGTAATCTAACTAGAAATCTGTAATGTGTTAGAAGTAATTTTAATTAGTTAAATGTGTTCATTAATTCAACTAATTAATTTAATTAATTCATTCATTAGACTGCAGAAAACTAAGCAATCAATAAATGTTCAAATCCTTGACTAAGGTTCTTGTCAAAGGAAGGAGAGTCCAAGTTCAACTGTATTCAAGTCACAAAGAAAATCTGTCAGCCCTAAAATCTAAATTAGAATCTTTCTGAAATTTCTAAATGCACCTGCTCTGAGAAAAACATCTGAAATCTAACAAACTATATGAGCAAAAAAAATTTAATATTTTTCCCCTTGAAGTATTAGCCATCACTCAATCATGTTCAAAGTGACTAATCCTCATTAGAATGTATATGAAGAGGTGTTTAATTTTTTGTCTCCTTTCTTCTTGGGTTACAAGGATAGTACATTTTCAGAATTTAATAATTTCAATAATTTAATTTTGTACCAAACCCAAAAGAGCTTCCAGTGCATTGTTAGCAAGACTGGATTTTATAGCCATAGTCAAAATACAGTCCTTATGTGACTGAACATTTGAACATACACTGTTAGTAATTCAAGCTTCTAAAGCTGAAAACTTGAGCAGTAATAAAATCTATGCAACCAGAGGCAGCTGTTGGTTTGAAACTGTTGGTTGGTACTTTGAATATATAAATTAATATACTATTACTCTGTGTATGTAAAACCATGTCTACAATATAAACCATGATTTGGGAAAATAATAGGCACATAAGTGCATCACATTTAGCATAAGTATCTGCCTCTTTGATTTCAAAACATTTCAGCTTATTTTTATTAGGTTGGAAAAACTTCACTTAAATCAATATGAAATTAACATTAAAGGTTATATAGAGGATATATAATATGTAGGTTCTGACTCCAGATAAGCCTAGCAGTTAAAAAGATCCTAACTTGCAAAGTAATATAATTAGAGCAACAGTATTAGAGGAGGTAAGTGTAGCCGAAGCAATTATTATGGAGGGTGGAAAGTGGATACATATTGTGTATTATCTCATTTGCTTGACTTTATATGATCTGATTAAACTGTTTCATAAAAATACAGGGAAAATTACTTCTAATAGCACTTGAATATTTGATTCTTAGTTCAAAGCCATTTGGTTTGCAATAATAATTAAACAGTACCAAAAGTAATACCGAATGTGAAAAAAACAATCTCTTAACTTCAAAGAAAATAATTTAATTTACTATTCACTTTTTTTTTTAACTAAAGCACATCTGAATTTAAAGTACTATTTTCAGTGTAATGGAAGTTTAAATTCCTTTTATAAACCGTGAAGAGCTTATTTCGATTTGTAGCAATTGAACTTCTGCTTCAAAAGGCTTAATATTTTACTTCATCCAAAATTGTGTATCTTAGAAGGAAAAGTGCTCTAAAAAGTAATAATGAATCAAAGTAATTGCTCACCACAAGATATTGCTCTGCAGGATAGGAAGGTCAGACCAAAACAACACTCAATCCTCAGTAAATCTATTCATGTTTTATAGCCCAAAGACAGACGAAAGTTTTAACAGAACACTTGGAAAGCAAGAACTAAACATGAAGCACTATCCAATGAGCTAGTTAAGTAACTTCTCTGACTTCAGTGCAGTGAATTGGCACCAGACAGTCCAGGAGAAATTTGAATTAGCAATTCTTACACAGTATCAGCCTGAACTTCAACTCACAGCCAGGCCACTTTGGGTCATGATTTCAGTGCTGGATCAGTAGATTATCAGGTATGGCACAAATGAATTGGGCACAATTTCCTATTTCTAGCAGGAGCTGCCTACAGCAATAGCACTCTTCTGTCAGCAAGACCCAGGAAACATCTTGGCCACCACTGCATCCAACACCCCAACTCCCTTTTAAGTGTAGGATGCCAGATCTGTTTCTTGGAAATTGTTTCTAGCAGCTTCCTCTAAATCCTTGCTTACACCATCATTCATCACTATTGGGAATATGTCCATTAAAAATTTCAGGGTATTCCAGGTCGTTCTGGCCACCACATATAGGACAATTTTGGAGCCAGAAAACATGGCTTTCCTATAGGTCCATAACAAACACGGTCCTCACTTGTTGCAGATGATGCTCAATACTGGAATAGTAGTGAGATTTGTTGTGGCTATTGAGAGTATAGTAATCACCTCTATTTTGGCCATCAGTTCACTAGCATGTTTATCATCACCATATCACATCATGGATCATAGCAGGTTTTGTCATGGCATGGTCCCTGACTCTGACAGTATCACTGCTGAGACCTCTAAAGACCTTCGTCCAGCAAAGGAAGTCTTCATCCAGCTGAAGGTTGGTGTTTATACTTGAAGGGCAATTTTTTTAAGAAACAGAGATCACATCACCTTACACTCATTCCTGCCTACCTGTTCAGCCCAGTTTGAGTTAAGATGGAGCCATGAACTCAAGGGAAGTTGGTAGTGCTACCTGGCTCCACCACTGCCTTTCCTGAGAAGCTTTCTATCCTCCATGGTGCAATGCACTGCTGATCTTCATCTAAAGATCAAAGCCCCATTTACCTGGCTTTGCTTTCTGTCTCCCTGTTCTTTGCTACATAAAAATCTGCTAAAATAAAAGTAGTCACTCCTACACTTCCTATAGCAGGAAGATATGGCAGGAAGCGGGGTAACATGGCCCAAGAGATAAAGCAAAGAAAAATGTGCGGGCAAAGTTCTCCAATGCTATATCACTGGCAACATTTCCAGTGCCTGGTAACATGCCTAGAAAATTACAAAAGCCCCAGTGAAAAAAACAAAACCCACAAATATTCCCATAACAAAAAGAAAGATTAGGCAGATTAGGTTTTTTTCCTTCTCATTAATACAAAATCCCCCTCTGATCAAATCTGTTCAATGCTCTTATCTGAGATAGAGACTGACGATTTTACAGAAGATCTCAGCTAACCTATGGGAAGTCTGGGCTTTTTCTGTACTGAAATTAGCTCTATCCAACACTCAGAATTAATCCCCTCCCAAAAAAAGGATTCTTAGCCATGCTCCAGATGAACATGCTCTCAGGGGAAATATTTTTTTTTGCAGCCTGCCATTCCTTGGACACCCCTTTCACAGACCTCACACCTCCCTACATTCAACCTCTCTTCTTGTTCTCTTCTGAATCCCTAATCTGTTGAATCCTGACTCCAACACAAGGTGTGTGCTGAGCCTTAGCCAAAGCACTCCTCTCATGGGCCGGACAAAATATTTCTTTGGACATGTTACTCCTTGGGCAGCTCCTTCACAATTGTATTCCAACAATTTACTCTAAATTTATGATTAAGGACTCTGTGAGCATCCCCCTTTGGGACATGGGTAAGATGCTCATGACCAAGCTAAACACCCACCCTGAAATAACATCAGCAATCTTTAACTTTCTTCAAAATCCCAGCAGATCCCTCAATGCTCTTTTGTTATTCCCACTGAAAACCAGCAGAGAAAATGATGTGGAAGTTTTTCACCCCTTTCCTCTAAGGTTCACCAGTTTCCCACTTTTATCCTCTACCATTATTTAGATTTAATATATACAGGAGAAAAGTCAGAATTAACTCCGCAATGTCATATCTGAAGTCACCAAATTCCTTTAATATGTAGTTTGTACTTGGGATATGGGAAGATTATATCAGTTTTTCATTCAAATTGCAGGTCACTGGAGGTAAGATAAGGCTAAAAGCAGAGGTCTCTGACATAGTCTT